GCTGTGGAGTGGTGGGGGGCATCCCAAAGGGGTGGGAGAGGGTCTGGCCCATGCTGCGCCTGGGCTGGGACTGGTCCCGTGTGCAGGGTAGCAGGAAGCTCTCCCACACACTCACTGGACCTGTGCTAGGACTGGGTCTGGGGGTTCCCTGAACACGGCAGAAATTCCTACTTGGAGCGCGGGGTAGGGGAGGTGCTCCGGAGTGGTGGGGGCCATCCCAAGGGGGTGGGAGAGGGTCCGGCCCATGCTGCACCTGGGCTGGGACTGGTCCTGGGTGCAGGGTAGCAGGAAGCTCTCCCACACACTCACCGGACCTGGGCTAGGACTAGACTCATACATTATCTCTAGGTGAAAGGATTTCAGATTAGTCCACATACAATATGGCATCACCCAAGACAAGTATAATTTTTCCTGAAGAAAAAAACCAGTTTTCTACATTAAGTAATGCCTTCTCTGCCACTCTTCTGTAGAAATACTGACTTACTGTCTGGAGTTTCCAATGTTTCCTACAACTGATTAAAATGGACAGAGCATGGAGTTTTCTACTTATTTCCAGGTTAACTCTTTACATTTCTTGGCTTCTTAAAGCTCTCCTTGCACAAATCTTCCAAATCTTACATGACTATGTATCCTTGTAAGCCCCAATCATATAACTTCTCCTCACTTGCCTGGATGAACATGATAGCTTGTTGTGGGTAATAGATGGAGGCCACTAATCCCATGAAACCAGGTAGATACACCAGCTTTTTTGCTTTTGAACTTCTAGTGAAAGCAAAGCCAGAAAAACCAGTTACACCAAGTCTTGGGAAAAAACATGGGGGAGCATTTTGGAGATATTCATAGCTGTCTAATCCCCACTGAACCAAACTTTGCATCTTGGGTTTAGTTTGGGAGCGTTTCCTGACACCAATTTGTATATGGTTCAAAGTGATGTCAGAGCTGTGAGATGCCTTCTTCAAGCTGGGTCTTTGGCTCCTCTGTGTATTTAGACTGACCTTCTGACTGAGTAGAGTGACAGCTCATCAGCCTTCATGGAGTTTTTGTGAGGTGAGTCCTTTTTGGGTGCAGCGTAGACTCTGAAGGTGTGCAAGCTCAGGCTGGCCGGGCCCACAGATTTCTTTAGTACCTTGAATATGTCTCTGGCAGCTGCAGCTCTGGTGGAGACATGTTGATCTAATATTTGTATTGACATATACTTTGTACCTTCAATTATGTTCTTAATTCTGGAATCTCTTAATGCCTATCATTTTTCTACAGATGTGATTTACTTTATTGTTTTAATAGTGTAATTATTAGCTGATATATTTACATGGCATGTATTAATATAAATATGATAGACATGTACAATTGGGAAGACATATTAAACAACTAATTATAGCAATACATCTGCTCTCTGCTTAAATTAGGCCACAGTTCCTTTGTCCCTCATCAGTTGTTATTCTAGGGTTAGTTATAACCATGATCTTTGTCTGAGAACCATCTCTGACTCTCCAGAATATTTAGGTCCCACAATCATTATAAGGGTGTCATTGTACTTGCATGTGTCTTTAAAGTACTGGTCAGGGTTTTGTTAATTATTTGCATGAGTCAGGTGTGGCACTTGCCTCTAATCCCAGCCCTCAGGAGGCTGAAGCAGGAGGATACCTGTGAGTTCGAGGCCAGCCTGGACTATCTACTGAGTTCAAGGGCTGCCTGATCTATACAGAGAGATCCTATCTCAATTTTTTTCCTGTAAATATTTGTTCAATATTATTTTCTTACATCATGTAAGCCATATGGTCCATCATGTTCCTCAGATCTCGTCCAATGCTGTCACAATAGATAGTGTCTTCTCACTGTTTATAGAGGGACTAATGAGTGCTTGAACCCCATAAGAGTAGTTAAGGTAATAGAGAAGCAGAGAAACAGAGGGAGTTACCTGGGTTAGGGGAGAGGAGCAGCACTCCTGAGTAAATGACACTTGAGCTGAAAGAGGAACTAGAAGGGTCATGGAGGTGTAGGGTAGAGAGAACACTAAGGCAGCGTGTGAAGCAACATGAACGGTAACTGAGCCAGCTTGTGAAGGACCACTGCAGAGTTTTTTGTTTTCTTTTTTGTGTTTTAGAAAAGGGTCTACAGGGTGTTCAAGGTCTCACTACTAGTGATCCACCTGTTTACAGCTTCCCAAGAGCTGGGATTACAGGCACATGCCACTATGCCCAGTCTCAATTGCTGTCTCAGCCCACTCCAGGGGCAAGGTTGGCACGACAGGCCTGGGAGTCAAATCCCTGGCCCCTATACCTGCAAGCAAGTGCTTTAATCCACTGAGCTATTTGGTCAGTCCTCACTGGAGGGTTTTAATGTCAAGAGTTTAGACTTCATAACAACATTTAAAAGGCATTCTGAATATGTAAACAATACAGTTTTGTTTTTTTAAAGAAAGGACTGATCAGTATCTACAGAACTGTTCAAAGGTAAGCAAACCTGGAGGTAGTGGGATGGGTGTGGAAATGTGACTAATTCAAGGGAGGAGTGGTATGGCAGAGGTTTTGAATACGCCTGCACAGTTTTTATTCAACAAGTAGCTACTGTGTACTTACTGTACCAAATGATACTGCAGATAATGAGTATTATCCTTGAATATACAGGTTGCCATGTTAATTGGGCAGTGAAATGCTGACAAATGAATACATAAATAGCCAAGAAAGATTCATTACTTCAGAAAGAGCAGCAGTAGATAAAAATGGAGTTTCTAATCCAATTTGTGGAAACCAGAGTACATGGGATAACGTTGACTCTTGTATTTTCCAAGAGTATCCTTTGAGTACCCTTGGAAAATAATTGCCAAGTAGCATGAAAGTCCAATGAAGAACTCTTAGCAATGGAATATAATGTCCAAGACACAAAGCTTATAGGTCAAGTCACCTAAGAGATTCAGAAATCTGAAGGACCTTCTTGTAACCTGAAGATCATGATTTCAAGGAATAATAAATACAAATAAAATGCTATTCTATGAAAAGTCAAAAAAATGGAAACATAAGTCATTTTTGGTTTAGTTATAACACATTTCAGCAATATTTGATCCTAATAAAGATTTATATGAACAATGAAAATAAAATCACTTCCCAAATAAAGGAAAAAAAGAAAAGGAGGAGGAGGAGAAAAAGAAGGGAAAAAAAAAAAGACAAATTTACTTTCCAAAGTTAACAAGGTAGGAACAGGACAAGAACTAAATGGAATAGCTAGGCATGGTAGCACACACCTGTAATAATTCCAGTACTCTGGGGACCTAGGCAGGAGGATCACTAAGAGTTGAAGGCCAGCCTGAATTATATAGCCAGACCCTGACTCTAAATAAACAAATGAAAGAACTGAATGGAATAGAATATTAATGTTAATTGCTTCTCTGTTGGGATTTAAAAGTGTTTTTTTTTTTTTTCTCTATTGAACTTTCATGAATCTGGCTGGGGAGATAGCTCAGTGGCTTAAGTGCCTGCCTGGCAAGTGCAAGGTCCTGAGTTTGATTCCTGGTACAGAAAAACAACAACGACAACAAAATCTTTCACATGTTTGAATTTTGGTAAATCATTTCATTTGTAAGAGTCGTTTATTTTTAATTCCAACCTGATCACTCTTCTTCCTCATGTAGGGAAGTCGAAGTATTCCATTAAGATTTGTTCTAATAACTCGGAGACATGTCATTTGCGTTAAGTGTTAAGCTACTGAAATACCCATTAGAGAACTAGGCAGAGAGAAGGTAAAAGAAACAAGTATTATTTAAAAAGGTGGAGAGACTGGATATGGTGGTGTGTGCCTATAATCCCAGAGCTTGGGAGGCTGAAAACAGGAGGATCACTACAAGTCCCATCTGTATAGTGAGATCCTGTAGACCCTGTACTAAACACATAAAAAGAATAAAATAAAATAAAAACAATAAAAAGGTGGCAACATCCCTAAGTTCCTTTCCTGCATTAGTGCATATGCGTTGTACAGAATAACGGGTTTTCTTCATGCCCGCATAAGCTGTAGTTTGATCTTGTAGGTGTTTACATGTGCCAGCCACTCCTCTCCTTTCCTTTGAAGACAAGAATATGTGCCTCATGCTCATATTTTCATTTTTTTTTTAACCAAGGGGCATAATTCTTGAATAGAGAGGCATTCAAAAGGCCCTGAGAAGTTTCTTTACAAGCAAACAAACTTTTAACTCTGCCACCAGCTTTGAGTAGGCTTTGTCTTGAGTGTTGCTGAGTCCTCCAGGTTGGTTGTTTCTGGCTTCACATCCTCTGGCCCCTTTTCCGCACAATCTCATTTTTTCTTCTGTTTTCGTAGGACCCTGTTGGTGTCTACAGGTTCACTGCTGCTACCTTCGAACTTTGAAGTGCCTCATTCAAAGCCACTCGGGAAATGCAGAAACAGGGATTTGGGAAAGGACTTGGGAATTTTCCAAAATACGTTTGGAACCCTGGTACAGACCAAACCTGAAAGGTTCTTGAGTATCGGAAAAGATGGTCAGGAATGGTCTTCAGACATCGCTGTTTATAAGGAGGTCCTATGGGGCCTGAGGCCCAGAGAGACTCAGCGCTCAGAGGAATGTCCTCGATGCAACCCTTAACCTTTCAGGGGAAAAAAAAATCACCTGCAGCTTCCCAGACCCACCCTCGGATCTCCACCTGGTAACTGAGGACAGGCCAGTTGAGTCTGGAACCTGTGCACCCACCTGTAGCCTCCTCCTCCGAGGGCCCTGGAGGAGGAAGAGGACACTCAGTGAGAGCCAGGAAGAGGGGGTGGCGAGAGGAAGGAAGGGGAGCCCGAGGTGGGCGTGGAAGAGTCGGCCTCACAGGGCTGATTGGTTCCCGAGGCCAACCCTCTAGCCGCGGTTTATAAGAATTGGGGCTGCCCGGACGCCCTGCCCAGGAGCCACCGCCGGGCCAAGCAAGCTCCGGGTCGAGGTCCCGCCTGGCCCCGAGCCTGTCTTGTGGCTGCTTTTGGAGTCACTGCGGGCAGACGGGTAAGGAGGAGCGGCCGAGGGAGCCGAGCGCCCCAGCGAGCGGGCGAGCGCCATGCGCCGCGCCAGCCGCGACTACACCAAGTACCTGCGCGGCGCGGAGGAGATGGGCGGCGGGGGCCCCGGCGCCCCGCACGAGGGTCCCCTGCACGTCCCGCCGCCCACCGCGTCGGCTCCGCAGCCCACGGCCTCCCGCTCCGTGTTTGTGGCCCTCCTGGGGCTGGGGCTTGGCCAGGTCGTCTGCAGCGTGGCTCTGTTCTTGTACTTTCGAGCGCAGGTGAGTATCGCCTTCCAGAGTGCGTGCGGGGCCTGCGCGCCACGTCTTCCCGCCCTGGGGGGAAACCGAGTCCAGCTCCCCAGATTTTGACTATTCAGGAGAGAAAAGTGACAGCGACAGAGACACAGATAGAGACAGGGCCAGCCACAGCACATCCCGGGTCCACCTGGCGTGGGGATGCAGGACGCACTGACCCATCTTCCCGAGTCGCACCCTTTCCCCCCCCTGAGGCTGGGCTGACCGGACGCTGGGTTTGAATTTTTCCCTGCGGAAATAGCCCTGGCTGCTCACCTCTTCTGGAAGTAATCGCGCACTTTCTTCCCTTTCTATTTCTCACTGGGAGTTAAGAACCCACTGAAATCTACTTGGGGAAAAATAAAATCAATGCCTTCATGTGGGCATCGACCTCTGCCCTTTCTGCCAGCCACTCAGTGGCTTTGGGACCCTGGGGCTGGATTTGCAGGCAGCCGGGGCACAGTGCTGGGGCGACGCACGGTGCACACAGCCCTCGGAGGTCTCCAGTTGGGTGGAATGACAGCCTTGCCAGGGGTGCCCGCTCTCCCGGCGGTGGGGCTGTAGGAGTGAAGGAAGAGGATGCGCCCACGTGCCTGCCTGCGAGGTAGGCGGAGGAAGGAAGCGAGGTGTGCACCACCGCACCCGCCTCGCTCCCCGAGTCACCGGCCTTTGAAAAGATGAAGAGGCTCTGCAGAAAGACTCAGAACTGCCGGGAGACAGTAGAAAGGAAGGGGTAAATGTGTAATGTTATGCTTTCTGGTGGTTTATGCTCTGTGTGTTCTTGGAAATTGCAGTGCAGTTGGTTGGATTCATTCAAATATTCTTGTCTGGTGCTGTGAACTCTTTCTCAGAGGAAGTGGGGGGCTGACTGTGCAGTTTTTTTTTTTTTTATGGGAAAATAAAGTTGGATTTGGACTTCATTGGTTTTCGATTTAAAGGTGATTACTACCCAAACTGAGTGGATCAAAACATGGAACTGCTTGGATTGTAGGGTTTTGACGAGGGCTAGGGTCTTGAACTCCGGCTTTTTTAACCACAGACTTTTTGTTAAGTATTCATTATCCACTCGCTTGCATTTTATAACACTAGTTATAAGATTTATGGTTATCAATTGAAACATGAATAGAAAGGCCAGAACACTACTTTAGAAAATTTGTGTTTGTACATTAATAAAACATAGTGTTACCTTTGAAAGAATGTTTTTTCTAAGACAGTTACTGAGTGTTTTTTTTTTATTCCCACATGAATTATACAAGTCTATGAAAGTTGATTAAATTTTCTTCTTTCATTGTAATGTGTTGCAGTCAAGAACGAACGTTTTGCCCATTTATGTCCCATCCAGCATATTGTTAACAGCCCCTACTTAGTGCTTATATATTGAGAGCACACACTGTGCAGGTTCTTAAATGCTGTGATGTGACTTAATCATTCTGCACACGGTGTCCATGTGCTCTGTGCGTGGTGCCAGCTAACTGATGGCCCACAGCTGCCCACAGCAAAAGGTAGTTACAGTTCTTAGTCCAAGATTACAGCACCTTTCAGGATCAAAGGTGCAGTAGTTCTCAACTTCCTATCTTTTATGATTTTTTAAAAATAGTAGTATGTAAATAAGTGTTCAGGGTAGAAAGAACTGTAGGGAATGGATGAGTTCTAGGACCATGACAGTTTATCTTGCCAGGAACCATGGGAACTGACATGACCACATAGGAAAGAATGACCAGCTGGGCTCTGGTTACAGATGTTCAGCTTTCTGGAAGGCATGCCAATGGCCTGGTGGGCTGAGAGGTCTGTCCTTCTGATACTACCAGCAGTCCGGATGGTATAGGTATAATGAGACACTCAAAACCTTTTCCTATGTTAAACATGTAACTTAATAAGCTTAACTAGACATTTTTCATTTGGCGAATTAGATTTCTAGGTACAATGTTCATAATTGACTTGAAGATTGGGTTCCTCTAAAATATATGAAAAATATTTTAATCATTATTCGGAACCCAATTCTGTACTGCATTTTTAAAAGGTCATCTCCTTCAGTAAAGAAGTAGTATTAGGAGTAATGTGTTCATATGAATACTTCAATAGATCTGATTATATTTCATTGAGTGGGGTTATCTATATGTGACACCTAAAAGAATTAATCATTTATCAACAGATTCTGAAGTATTTATGAATGTAATGCTAAGTTGTTTGGAATTTATTTAAAAATAATTGATGGGAAGGGATAGAGATGGGGTTGTTTGTAGATGAAACAAGATTGGCCATGAGATGGTAATTATGGAAGTTGGTTGCATGCATGAAGTTCAGTCTACGATGCTTCCCACCTTATACATTTAAGAGCTTTCTTTTATAATTTTAGTTAAGAGAGTAGACTCAAATTTGCCCATCATGTTAGTGTTTTGCTTTTAGCAACTTGTTTGAATTATAATTTGGTCCCAAGTAATAGTTTTTTTTTTTCAAGTTGTTGGTGAAATACTTGCAGGGTCTGAATGTATTTCAGTAAAAATAAAACCATTTGGTGTCAGGAACATATTTACATTATATATTTTAAAAGAAGATAAGAGAAACCAGTTTAATTGTTTTAGTTTAAAGATAGGGAAAAGAAGCTATGTAAATTATCAAGAAAAAGCAGTCTGTTTATTGTGAATGCATTGAGAAGCATGCCCAGAATAGTGTAAAAATTGCAATAACTTAAACTTCTTTTAAATTCATGTTTTAATAGTTAAATGAATGTTTCAGATTGCCTGGGGCTAGATTTTTTAAAAAATATATGTATTAGATCTGGTGAAGATTGGCTCTTCCCAGTTAACTCTGCCACAAAGAAAATAGTGTGTGGCTTGCGCTGTGTATTTACCACATAGCATTCATACTTGGGTTTACAAAACAAAACAAAAAACCTCTCCAAAAAGTTGCTTGTAGAATGTGTGACATCTCCATGACCATATTCAAAATTTACCAATAAGATAGGTTCTTTACCCCTTTAACTCCTTCCCTCAGCCTCCTCAAATGCACACACCAGCCTCTCTGGCTGCCTTTCTACCAGCACAGCTGTCACTCTTGAAAACCTGCTGTCAAGGTGTACAAGCTTTCTAGACGAAAACACAGAGTGTGGGGTATCAAGCATCTTACCTCATTTCAGCCTTCTTATGATTATGTTTCAAGGAAGTTAAAAAAAAAGAGAGAACATTTTACAGACATAGCATAGTCTGATGAATGTGTTTTAGAAATCCATTTTATGTGCCAAGACTGCGATTGAGACTGGGCATGGTGACGCGTGCCTGTAATCCCAGAGCTTGGGAGGCTGAAAACAGGAGGATCACTACATGTCTGATCTGTGTATTGAAACCCTGTAGATCCTGTACTAAATACATTTTAAAAAATTCATTTTAAATTAGCTGTTTGTGGTTTTGCATTTTCAGATATGCCTAGATACAATGATCCCATCTGTTACTAACTTTACTGTATTCTTTTGTGGAATTTCTCTGGAGACTTGTAACTTCCACAAAGACAGAGATTGCATGTTTTGCTCACTGTCTTTTTCACAACATGTAGTACAGTACCTGGTGTATTTAATTGACTGAGAAGGCCTTTCAGTGATTTGCAACACTGCATCTATGACCATTTCTAACTTATAATATGTAAATTATCTCACTAGCAGCTAAGGTAGCTCAATTTTTAGCCATGTGAACTTGAATTTCCAAGCTGACTGGTGAGCTGGCTGATGCCTTGTCTGCTTTTCTGAGGTCTGAACCCAGTGACCTTTCAAGATAGCTGTCCAGACATTTTTGGTTTTATGGTACATTTATTAGCAGAAATGACATCTTTTCCCTAAAGACTGTGTTGGAAGCTATCCTTATGCACTCACACATACTGATTAATTATAATTATTCTGAAGAAAATGGAAATAAAAGTAGATTACAGATATGTTCCTTCATAGTGACATTTTTATGTGACAATAAATCATTATTGCATTTGCAAGGCTAGATTAATAACATTTGTATTAATTAATACACACTTGTTCAAAGGCTGTTGCTTCATTTTGACAATTTCAGATAGGAGCAGGGTACCTCCTAGTTTATTTCTGGTGGTTGGTTGACAAAACTGCACATTTTAAAATTACATTTAAAAATCTAAATAAATCATGGAAAGAAAGACTTGGTGTTGATCCTGACTGAGCTTTGGTTATTGTAAACTTATAAATCTTTGCCTTCTTTCCTTCCCTTTTCCTCTTCCCTTCTTCCCTACCTTGTTCCTTCCCTCCCTCCTTTGTCATTCTTTTTTGTCTTCTTTGTATTTACTAATAAGCAAATGCATATGAATTTCTGGGAAAAAAGACAACTTAAACTGTTATTATCAGTACAACCAATAGCTAATTATTGCTACTCTTTATGTCACTGTTGAAACTGCTGCAAGGGCTTCCCAGACCCCTGACAGGGCTCCGTAAAGTGGTGTGAAAGGAAATGCTCATGCCTGACATTTGTCTAGACCAAGCAGTCAGCAAGTAACTTCATGGGGGGTATTGAAGGTGGGACAGTCTCTCCCTTATACTGTAAGCATTTCGGCATTAACTTCTCCACCCTCATCTGACACTGAGTATCACTCACACATATTCCCAAACATTCCAGATTGAGAAATACGATGAGAGTTTCATCTAAAAGAAAAATTATGCTTCTGACCTAAGGTTTTACTTTGAACTAGGAGATGGTTTTCTCTTACTCTTCTTTCACTGATTAAATATTCATTGATTAAAAAAAAAAAGGACAGGCAGACATTGAAGATGAAATTAATTTTGCCTGATTAATGTAGGCTTCATGCTTTGAATATTCAGAAATGTTCAGACAACTGGCATTGGGCATGTTGTATGCATCCTAAGGGCAAAAAACTACCTGCACTTGTCACATGCGATTTCCTTGATGCCTGTTCCGCTATGAGAACTGTTAGGTTGTTCGGACGGTCCTGAGAAGTTCCAAGTGAGTCACATCTCTGCTGGAAATCTACTATAGAACCATGTTTCCTTTTTGTCTGGATGATAGTTCCTTGTCAAAATGAGTTAGAAGCTAACATTTCATTGGCTAGAGGGTGATTATATTAGCTATTAATTGTAAAAATGAACTTTTTATTCTCAAGTCACACTCTGCTAACTAACAGAGTAAGTACTAATGACCATTCTGATGTCTGCCCCTCACCCCCAGATGGATCCTAATAGAATATCAGAAGACAGCACTCGCTGCATTTATAGAATTTTGAGACTCCATGAAAATGCAGATTTGCAAGACGCAGCTCTGGAGAGTGAAGACACGAAGTTAATACCTGACTCTTGTAGGAGAATTAAACAGGCCTTTCAAGGAGCTGTGCAAAGGGTAAGTCCACACTGAAGTCACAAAGTCAAGGGCCCTTGCTAACTCTACAGTTATTCAATATTAACACTTGCTAAGTGCCTTTTTGAAGTTGATAATCGTTGGTTATGGCATCCAGAGATATTTATACAAATATGCTTTTCTTTTTAAATTCAGTTGGAAAGAGGATAACGGTAGAAGGATCAATGTGACAGTTAGAATTCCTTTGCAGAGAAACTGTCCCGCAGTTTCACAGGACTTTCTAGTAGCTGTTTCCTTTAGATTTGGTTTTGTGCTCCCTTATTCCACATACGTGCTCCATAGCTCTGATGAAAAGCTAGCTGGTCCTTTGTTGTCTTGTGTGGTGAGGAGGTAAGCATGCAGAGCAGAGAAGGACTCTCACAAGATGGAAATTCTTGTCTGTATTTTCATTTTCTGAGAGTTGAGTTATAAGAGAGGAGATGGGAACAAAGAATACCAAAAGAGTTCGCTCGTAGCTTCAGTTGAGAAACACTACGCAGCTGCCTGTTCTCTTTCCCTGAATAAAGCCACCTGAAAATTTTGTAGATTTAGGATTATTTTACTTACTGATTTTACCAAAAAATAAGTAGAAACTCATTGACTCCAGTGTAGAGCACCCATTTGCAATGCATATATATCTGCATGTACATTTATATGTGCTCGTGCATCCAGCTGTATATCCAACCTGTTTTGTAGATTCTTGGGTTCATCTTATCATTTCAGAGTAAATTGAGAAGTTCTCAGAACTCATTTTGTTACTTTAAAAATCTTCATGAAGTAATATTTCTTAAATGCTGCAAATATGTACCAATAAAAATTAAAATTCAATGAAAAAAAGTGCATCAATCAGAGGTAGAGGTAGGGAGATGAAGTTATTCTATTAAACTATTAAATGTAAATATTTTACACCCATAAGGTTAAGATTTGGCATATTTTATCAAATTGAAGGCATGAAGTTTTGACTCATTTCACTATGCTGTGTACCACTGAGACAGAAAAAAGGGCCAGGGATGTAGCTCAGTGGCACAGCACCTGCCTGGCAGACACAAGGTCCTGAGTTTGATTCATAGTACAAAAGAAAAAAAAAAAAGCATAAGGACAAATTAAACACGATCATAATAGATCCTAGTTGCACCTTAATTTTGGGAATACTACATTGTAAAATTAAGTGTATCATAGAATCAATAAAATACATATTCTAATGTATATAAGAAAATGATGTTATTTATGAAAATCACTTTTTTAATATGTACTTCCCTTTATGTGGTAGATGCATAAAGTGTGGCTTAATTAATTAGTTAATTAGATACAGGGTCTCACTATGCAGTTTAGACTAGTAGTGATCCTCCTGTCTCAGCCTCCTTAGCACTGGGATAACAGGCATGCACCACCATGCTCATTTTCGGGGCCAGCACCACACACCTGGGGTTCCAGGGCCAGCATGGCATGTGGTGCCAGGGATTGAACCTAGGTCTTTGTGCTTGCCAGGCAGGTACTTAGATTGCTGAGTTATCTCCCCAGCCCTAAAATGTGGTTGTAAATCCATTGATCTTTTTACATTATAATTTTTGAATTGTAAAAGCCAGGATTCTGCTAATCTATTCATTTTCATTGCTCTGCTTGTGTATCATTAGTCAGTTTTTTACCCCATTTGTAAATTTATCTCTCACATGCAAAATAATCTATCTATAAATAATTATTTACACATACCAGGGATCACTCTATTAATCCAAGGTTGAATTCTTTACTAATATAATTCTGGGTTGTAAATGATTATGTTCTGATTTGCTGTTTGGATTGGCCTACATTGTATCCTTTTAAAATGAAGTAATGAACTTTTAATTTTATTGATGTCTTGGCTCTTTAAAGTATCCTTTAAGTTTCTTATGGATGAAAGGTAAGATCAATCAGGATAATTTTGAAAATAAATAATGACAAATAATACTTTTAAGAACTCAAGAAGAGGTCAGTCTTAATTAGTAAAGGGAGACAAATGTTTCATCATCTCCTAGAGCCTAAGAACTGATTGAAAAAATTTTTATGCTATTTCTGATGTTTAAGATCTATTGGAAAAGATACACTTAGAGGGATTCTTGATAGCACCACAGATATCTCAAATTAAAAGTTAGCTAATGATGAAAAATTAGAATATTTCTCTAATTTTTAATAGGAACATAATAGAACTTTTTTTTTTTTTTTTTTTTTTTTTTTTTTGACACTGGGAATTGAACTCAGACCTTACTCTCACCAGGCAGGCATTTATGCCAATGGGCTATATCTCCAGCCCTAGGAACATAATAAAGATGTCCATTGTCCCCACATTATTTAACATTATTCTGAAGGTGCCAACACATGTGACAGCACCAGACAGTGAAATGAGAAAAAATATTTAGAGAACAGTAAAAGGCCTAATTTGTGTATGATAGGATCATGTACTTGGGAAAATTCTAAAGAAACCGAAAGGCTGTGGGCAAAATAAATCAGTTCATAAAAGTCAGTGATGATTACTTAATGACCTCATTTTCAACATTAATTAGAAAATATGAATGAGAGTCCATTAATAATTTGTAAAAAAAAGTTCTAAAAAGAAATTTAACAAAAAATGTTCAAAGAGAAAACCTAGAAATCTTTACAGAGACATTTAATGTCAATAGAAAGACAACACTATGCAAAATGAGAATATTTATTGCAATATAACATAGTTTGGATTATTAAATGATGTTTAGAGCAATCTGTTTACTGTCTTTAAAGTGTGTGTTGTTCAATCATCTTTTAGGGAAGCAAATCCTGGGCAGTACAGCCCACCAACACTCTCTGTTGTTCCAGTGAACTTTTCTTCCACTTCCTGCCCCACCAGAATTTATCTGTCCATTGCCCTATTTCCTTTGAGATTTCTGAGTGATTGCTTAGGTAGAATCATCAACCGATTTGCATTAAAGATGTTTATGAGCAGCAATGGTAACATTTTGACTATGGTAGCAGCCATTGGCGATGTGGTGCCTTGTGCCAACTGAGTCGTACTAGTGAGAGATTTAGTACCTGGCCAGCCAGATGGAGGAAGAGTTTTGTGCAGGCAAGAATAATCAATTGCTCTTATAGAAGGCACATAGTCTTAATTATACATAGATTATTATGGCTCACAGGGAGAGTAGAACTTGATTTCATTACTTTCACATTTTTTTTTTTTTGTACCATAGGATTTTAGCTTTTTTGCACGGACAATAAAATATACAAGTGATCCCCACTAAAGAATAAGGAACTTTCCAATACAGTTATGTGTATTAGTATAGTGCACCAATTATCATAGTATAGCAATGTGTACTAGAGATAAAAGATACCATTTTCCTCCCAGGCCAGATCTTTAGGAAAATGAAGGTTTTCCATTCCTTGTTACTAGAACCAAGCAGTGTCCATTAACTGCACATACTGTTCTGGATACTTAGCCATACCTTTTCCTGTTCCCAAGGTTTTGCACTTCTGTGTCCCCACGCAATTTAATGAATTGCCGAATGTGGTTGCCCTTACCGCTCTGTATAACTTGCCAAAATAATTACATTCCTTATTTCGCTTGACAGTGCTAAAAATAGGATGGATGTATAAATAGGAAGGATGTATTAAGCATTCATAAGTAAGTTTGTGTCTTCGCTTTAGTTCTAACGTAGATATTGAGTGAATCCATAAAACAAAATTACATGTGTGGTTGCAGTCATTATTGAGAGATCAACCATCGAGTGGTAAATACCAGACATAAGCACAATATCACATTATATGTGTGCAGAAAGTAGTGTTTACCCAGCCCATCTCTGGTCAGACAAGTAATGCTGTTTTTCCCTCTTTTTTTGTTTGTGGCTAGATTCTCTTGGCTTTTTTTTCCCCTTTAGCACAGAACTCTGAAAGCCTCTCAGTGATCCAACTCTACCAGCCACAGTTTATAAAGTCTATCATAACAGTCTATGATAATAGAGAAAACACTAGTACAAATATGGTGTCTGATTAGTAAAGTGATTCTTGTTTTCAGTTTTGGCAGCGCCTCTGGCCTCTGCGGGCCACGTGGGGGTGGGAAGAGTGGTGAGCTCAGGCCTCAGCGAGGACTGGCCTGCGTGGCAGGGCGGACACTGGGCCTCGGACACTTCAGCGGAGAGCCAGCTGTGTGTCTCGCACTCAGCGCGTGGCCTGAGTGCTCACGGCTGTGGCTCCTCTCAACTGCAGAGTGCTGGGTTGCTGTGTCACGCTGGATGCTTGCTTGTGAGAAGCTCCCTGGAACTTACTTGCAAAGATATTTGAAAAAATGACATGCAGGAGAGAGATTAATATACCGATTGCATAATCACCTTGTTCTTGGAAATGAGATGTCTGATGCATTCAACATCGTCTCTTAGGAGATAGGAAGGAAGCATGAGGACTTATCTGTGCATTTATTTTTTAGTGTTATCTTTTAAAAGTGGAACTTAGGGCTTGGGAGATAGCTCGGCAGTGTAAGTGCCTGCCTGGCAGGAGCAAGGTCTTGAGTTCAATCCCCAGTACAAAAAAAAAAAAAAAAAAAAAGGAAAAAAGAGATTTAAATTGTGAATATTTTGTAACATATATTTTTATTTAATATTTAATAAATAAATATGTATGCTTCAGAGGATGAAATTTTTTCCTTGATAAAGTTGAACAATTAGAACTGTTTAGAGACCCCTGAGCAAAACTGCAAGATGATCAAGAAAAGGACCTTCAATTTGCACATATTTGAAAATATTGCACCCTACTTTATTTTCAGAACTGAATGGAACAAAAGAGCAAATAAATCATGGGTGACCAATTGAACTCTGTAAACTAGTATTTTTGAATGAAATGGGACTGTAACTGACTTATATAAATATATTTATTTTTTTATGCATTTCATACAGGGTCTACAAGGTCTCACTGCATAGATTGCACTTGTAGTGATCCTCCTGCTTTCAGCCTCCCAAGTGCTAGTGCTGGGATTATAGGTGCGTGCTACCAGGCCCAGTCTCATC